TCCCCTCTCTCTAAAAATAAATAAAATCTTTAAAAAAAAACAACTCCCCATGGCAACCACCATTCTACTTTCCATCTCTAGGATTTTGACTAGTCTAAGTACTTCACATAAGTAAAGTACTTAACTTCATTTACATATATACAGTATTTGTTTGTGACTGACTCATTTAACTGAGTGTAATGTCCTCAAAGTTCAGCAGTTTGTAGCATATTGAAGAATTTCCTCCTTTTTAAGGCTGAATAATATTCCAGTGTATGAATATACCACATCTTGCTTAGCTATTGATGGGCAATTGAGTTATTTCCACTTTTTAGCTATTGTGAACAATGCTACTATGAACATGGGTGTAGTAATATATCTTTGATACTCCACTTTCAATTATTTTGGGTCTACAAAAAACTCCTCAACCTAATAAGTGAATTTGGCAAAACAGCAGGATACAAAGTCAATATTCAGAAATCAAAGGCATTTTTGTACACCAGCAATGCAATAGAAGAAGAAGAAATCAGAGAAAAAATACCATTCGATATAGCAAAAAGAAAAATAAAGTACCTAGGCATAAATTTAACCAAAGTTGTAAAAGACCTGTATGCAGAAAACTATACAACATTGAAAAAAGAAATTAAGGAAGACACAAATAAATGGAAGTATATACCGTGCTCATGGATTGGAAGAATTAATATCATCAAAATGTCCATACTACCCAAAGCAATTTATAGATTCAACACAATCCCTATTAAGATACCAATGATGTATTTCACAGAAACAGAACAGACATTTCAAAAATTTATATGGAACCATAAACGACCCCGAATAGCCTCAGCAATTTTGAGAAAGAAACACAAAGTAGGAGGGATCACAATACCGGACATCAAACTCTACTACAAAGCCACTATACTCAAAACAGTCTGGTACTGGCACAAGAACAGACCCATAGACCAGTGGAACAGAATAGAAAGCCCAGAAATAAGCCCAGGTCTATATGGGCATCTAATATTTGACAAAGGGGGCAGAAGCATAAAATGGAGCAATAACAGCCTCTTCAACAAATGGTGTTGGGAGAGCTGGATGCAAAAAATTGAAATTGGATCATCAGCTGACACCATACACAAAAATAAACTCAGGATGGATAAAAGACTTAAATATAAGTCACAACACCATCAAAGTCCTAAAGGAGAACATTGGCAGGAAACTCTCAGATGTCCCACGCAGCAATTTTTGCACTGATATGTCTCCTAAAGCAAGGGACATAAAGGAAAGAATAAACAAGTGGGACCTCATCAAAATAAGAAGCTTCGGCACAGCTAAAGAAAACATTAGCAAAATGAAAAGGGAGCCAACCATATGGGAAAATATATTTGCTAGTGATACATCAGATAGAGGTTTGATCTCCAAGATATATAAAGAACTCACTCGACTCCACTCCAAGACGACAAACGATCCAATCAAAAAATGGGCAAAGGACCTGGGCAGACGCTTTTCGAAGGAGGAGATACAGAGGGCCCAGAAGCATTTGAAAGGATGCTCAGCATCACTAGCCATCAGAGAAATGCAGATCAAAACCACCATGAGGTACCACCTCACACCAGTCAGAATGGCCATCATAAACAGATCAACAAACAACAGGTGCTGGCGAGGCTGTGGAGAAAAGAGAACCCTATCCCACTGTTGGTGGGAACGCAGACTGGTGCAGCCACTGTGGAAAGAGTGTGGAATTTCCTCAAAAAGCTGAAAATGGAACTGCCTTTTGATCCAGTGATTCCCCTGCTGGGACTATACCCTAAGAATACCAAAACGTCAATACAAAAGAACCGAGGCACCGCAATGTTCATAGCAGCACAATTTACAATAGCCAAGTGTTGGAAGCAACCTAAATGCCCATCAGTAGTTGATTGCATCAAAAAGTTATGGTACATATACACAATGGAATACTACGCAGCAGAAGGAAAAAAAGAACTACTAAACTTCGCGACAGCATGGATGGAACTGGAGAGCATTATGCTAAGCAAAATAAGCCAGGGGGCGAAAGACAAATACCATATGATCTCACCTATAAGCGGAACCTAACCAACAATACAAAGATGCAAGGAAAATTAAGATCAGCCACAGTGAAAGGAAAAGAATTCAACAGAGACACGAGGGAAGGGGGGCGGGCAGGGAAAAGGAAGGGAAGGGGAAAGTCAAGGAACACATAGCAAGGACTCATGGACAAAACCAAAGGGGAAGAGCTGAGGGAGGGAAAGAGGGAGGGGTCAAGGGAAAGTGGTGGGGGGGAGGCAGAGACAAATATATTTAAAAAAAAAATAAAAGAGAGCTGGAAAAAAAAATTATTTTGGGTGTACGTCCAGAAGTTAGTTTGCTGGATTATATGGTAATTTTATTTTTAATTTTTTGAGGAACTGCCAAATTGTTTTCCACAAGAGCTGTACCATTGTACATTCCTGCCAATAATGTGTAAGTTTCTCCACATCCTCACCAACACTTGTTATTTTCTGAGGTTTTTTTGATACTAACCATCCTATTGGGGATGAGGCAGTATCTCATGGTTATGATTTGCATTTCCCTGTTAGTGATGGTGAGCATCTTTTCATTTTCTTATTGGCCATTTATATTCTTTAGGTTAACTTCTTTGGTTAATTTCTATGTATTTTATTACTATATTTATGCTACTGTAAATGAAATTATTTTCCTTTTAAGGTTGTTCATTGTTAACAAACAGAAATGTGACCGATTTTTGCATGTTGACTTTGTATCCCACTATTTTGCTGAACTTATTTATTCTAATATTTTTTTAATCTTTAGAGTTTTCTACCTATAGCATTATATCATCTGTGAAGAGAGATAATAACTTTATTTTATCGTTTCCAATTTATATGCCTTTTATTTCTTTTTGCTAGAATAGAAGTGGCAAAACTGGGCATCCTTTCCTTATTCCTGATTATAGAGGAAATGTTTATTCCATTGAGTGTGATATGCACTAGACTTTTCACATATGGCTTTTATTTAGTTTCCTTCTTTTCCCGGTTGTTTTGTTTTTTTTAATCATGAAAGAGAGTTGAATTTTGTCAAATGCTTTTTCTGCATCAAATGACACAATCATGGTTCTTTTCCTTCATTCTGTAATATGGTGTGTTACATCAATAAATTTTCATGTGTTGAAGTATCCTTTCATTCTAGGAATAAATTCCCCTGGTCACAGTGTATAATCTTTTTAATTTGCTGCTGAATTTGGCTATCTAGTATTTTGTTAAGGATTTTACTTCAACGCCCATGTGGGATATTGTCTGTAGTTTTCTTGTGGTGTGTTTACCTGGCTTTGGTATCAGGGTAATAATGCTGGCCTCCTAGAATGAATTAGAGAGTGTTCCCACCTCTTCAATTTTTTGGAAACAGTTTAAGAAAGATTGGTATGAGTTCTTCTTTAAATGTTACAATAGCATAAGTGGAATTTGCAAATGAAGGCACTGAGTCCAGGACTTTTCTTTGTTTAGAGATTTTTTACTATAAGTTCAATCTCTTTAGTAGTCATAGGCCTATTTAGATTTTCTTCATTTATATTTTGTTTCTTCATGACTTGATTTTGGCAGGTGTTGTTTCTAGGAATTTGTCCACTTCAGCTAGGATATACAGTTTGTCGGCATGCGGTTATTCATAGCACTCTCTATAATGCTCATTTCTGTAGAATCAGAGTAATGTCCCCCACTTTCATTTCTGATTTTAGTAATTTGAAACTTTTTAATTTCATTGATTTTTTTTTTCTCCAGTTTTTCTGGGGCGTATTTCATTTACCTCTGCTCTAATCTTTATTATTTCCTTTCTTCTGTTAGCTATGGATTTAGTTTGTTCTTTTTCTTCTTCCTTAAGTGGTCAAGTTGTTGATTTGAGGTCTTTTTTTTTTTTTATGTGTTTATAGCTATAAATTTCCCCATTAGCACTGATTTTGCAGCATCCTGTAAGGTGATATAGTTTTTGTTTACATCCATCTCTAAGTATTTTCTAATTTCCCTTGTGGTCTATTTGATCCTTTGGTTGTTTAAGAGTGTATTGTTTAATTTCCACATATTTGGGAACTTTCCTGTTTTACTACTGTTACTGATTTTTTTAATTGATTTGTGTTGACTTTAGAGAGAGGAAGGGAGAGAAACATCGATTTGTTGTTTCATGTATTTACACATTCACTAGTTGATTCTTGTATGTGCGCTGACCAGAGATTGAACCTGCAACCTTGGTATATCAGGACAATGCTCTACCCAACTGAGCTACCTGGCCAGGGCCTGTTATTGATTTCTTACTGAATCCCATTGTGATCAGAGAAGATACAATACTTTGTATGACATCTACCTTTTAAAATCTATTGCGAGTCAATTTATAGCCTAAGACATGGTTTATCCTGGCAAATGTCCTACATGTACTTGAGAAGAATGTGTATGCTGCTGTTGTGTGGAATATTCTATTATGTTACTAAATCTAATTGTTTTAATTTGTTGTTAAAGTCTTCTATTTCCTTATTTTCTTTCTAGTTGTTGTATCCATTATTGAGAGTTGAGTATTGAAGTCTCCAACTATTAGTGTAGAACTATTTCTTACTTCAGTTCTCGCAGTTTTTGCTTCATGTATTCTGGTGGTGTGTTACTTGGTTTATGTTTACAATTGTGAGGACACCTAGCAGAGTGTATGGACTTCAGTAATTATTTCCTTAATCCATTAATAATTAATGAAAATTTTTTTATAGCAATAATGATAGGAAAGGCCAAGTAGATTAGTTCTATTATTTTCTGAAAGGTGATGATACATAAAACCTGGTAAATTTCTTTTTAAAAAGACTTTCAAAGAATCTGTAGAACATGCAACCTCTCCCACAGAAAAAATGTAAACACTTGAGAGGTAGCAGTGTTATACTTAATGTTTTTGGTATCATCATGACATTCCATTAAAACAAACATTGTAATGAAGTTGGTTGAAATTCCTGTATTCACTTGTTTCAATTTTTTTCCCTCAAGCAATCAAGTGGAAGCACTGTTTCTGCTGCTATATTCATTCAGCTGTTCCGATGGGATTTTCTCTTAGTAAATCTGCTACTCAGGTATCTGCTATGTGTATGGATTCAAAAGTGGATGATCACTTAATGCAAGGGACTGAGAAAAGCAAGTTGGAAACAGTGACTCAATTATTTCAAAACACCAAGAAAATAAGATTAGAAGACACAAACCAAGAAAACTTTAAAAGAAGTAAAGAGACTGGCACAGGGTCTCTTTCAGAGAAAGCCTTGGGTTCAGTGGTTTATGTTAAAGAAAGTGATGGAATAGAAGTAACAGATGTGGAATAAAGTTATTTGTACCTATTACCAAAGAAACCAAAAATTGCTTTTGTCTAAGGAGGTGTGTTGAATAAGAAGCTGACCTTATTAGGAAAACCTAACAAAATGAAGGAAGATGATTGCTTTTTTTTTCACTGTTTATGAATCATCTTAGACTACATTTTTTGATGATGCATACTCAAACTAGTTGCTTTAGGGAGAAAAGAACTTTCCAAAATTCAAAGCAGATTTCTCTCATGTTACATTCTATCCTTGTCATAATTGGAGTTTTTGAGTAACAGTATTTAAATGGCACCAAAACATACTAATTGTAAAATATTTAACAGGTGATCATAAAACATAAAACGGTGCCCAGTTAGACATCAGCATGTCACACTACTACTTTTTTTAAAGATTTTATTTATTTTTAGAGAGAAGGGAGAGGGGGGAGAAACATCAATGTGTAGTTGCCTCTCAAGTGCCCCGCTACTAGGAACCTGGCCAGCAACCCAGGCATGTGCCCTGACTGGGAATCGAACCAGCGATCCTTTCGTTTGCAGGCCAGTGTTCAATCCATTGAGTCACACCAGCCAGGGCAGTATGTCACATTACTTCTTGGTGTACCGATCTTGTATGTTAGATTTCCAGTTTGGGATTTTGCTTTAGGGGACTTTATCTTCCTTCATTTTTGCATTTCTGTTCTGTAAAGTTCACTGCAGGTACAACCTGCAAAAGACCAGTAAATTGCATACTTTGAAAAGCATTTCACATTTTAAATTATCCTTTTAAAACTGATTTTTTTTCTTCCACATTGGATTCATTTCAGAGCTACAAAATAGTTATTTTGAAATGCAATAGTTTATCTTATAGATGCTACCATTTCATACCATCAATATTTAATATAATAAAACAGCCTTAAAATTCTTGTATGTCATTTTGCCATTCCTACTGAAATATGTATTAGTTTGAAACAGCAGTACTGTCTCAAGTAATGTTAGCTAATAACTAAAACCATTTTGTGTCTGGACACATAGTGAACTGTTTTACTGTATTATGTATGTTTTGAACATTTTCCTGTAATTTAATATTTAAAGACTACTTCTAATGCCCAGTTATCGCCTTCATATTCATGCAAAAGGAAGAGAAAAAGGCATCTTCTTTTAAGGGAAGCAATATTTTATACATCAAATAGCACTAAGAAATGTAATATGTTTGTAGGGAATATTGAGCCAAGAGTTTAAAGTTGTTGAATGGGACGTAGCCAATAAGATGATGCTTTTTTATGATTTACAGAACATAATTCTCTGGGAGAGAAAATACACAAAATTCATTTGTTCACCTATCCTGGCACTGTGCTTGGTGCTGGGGTTATAGTGATGAGTAAAATAGCTGCCTTTATTGTGCTTGCTGTCTGGTTGTCAGGGAAGATAGAATATCAGATAGTAATTAGATAAGATACAAACTGTGATGTGCCATGAAGAAAAAATAAATGTTCAGAGAAACAGAAGGCAAAACATAATACATATACTTGAACTTCTCTGAGGACAGCACATTTATAGCTTTTGCTGTTATGTGATTGTCCAAGTGAGATGATGATGATGGTTGAGGTGTTAAGAAGAGGACAGAGTCCAGGTGAGGTTTGGCAGGACATAGTGATTGTCTGAAAGTGGGAAGTGAAGCAAAAGAAAAGGTTTCTAGGATAAAAGACTAAATGCATGAAGGTTCCTGGCGGAAAAGGGTGTGCTCAGGAGCAGTTTTGGGACATACCATGCTTCCAAGGCAAGTAGACAGTTTATGGAACTAAAAGTATACATTTTGAAGTCATGTACAGAAATGCTATTGAAAATCATAGGAATGAATGACATTCCTTAAGGTAAATGTTTATTTTGAGATCAAGCTCTGAGAAACTCCAACATTTAGGAGCTAGTCAGTGCAGGGGGTGCAAGCAAAGGGGACTGAGAATTGGCAGTGAGGTTGCTGAAAAACGAAGACAGGCTCATGCCAAGATTGTCCACAGGAGTCTTTAAAGTAGAGGTAGCCAGCCAAAAGGTTAGATGAGGCTCAAACAACATGAATGTCATCAGTGAGTTCTGCAAAAACCACTTTAAAAAAGGCGGGGGGGACTTGGCTCAGATATTTCCAGACTTGTGTTTCACATCCACATATGTCAAACAGGACATTTGATACCTGTGTTGGATGTTGAATTTGGGATGATCCGTTTCATTGTAGATTGGTTCATTTTATAAGATAAAAATACACTTTAATAAAGAAAAAATTCAATATTGAAGCTTCATACATTCTTAGGGTACTGGGAAGAGGGATTCCCCAGTTCTTCCCACTTCCCTGGTATAGCTGTGGAGGCAGTATGACAAGGTTTTCTGAACTTGGAAAGGAGTAGGAGTCAGAGAGGCTTTCCTCTGCCTGAATCTTTCCTCAGGGGCTGCCTGTCTGCCAGGTGGTTTATTTCTGTGTGCCTCTCACCTACCTTCAGCATCCCTGCCTGAGTGCCCTCTGCAATACAGGGATGGTGTTGTGCAGGGGGCATCAGGGCACGTCAGCTGGTGTAGAGACAGGTGATGATGGTGGTGGCAGCCATGAGAGGGGACACGGGTAGACAAGAGGGAAGTGGGGATGAGGAAGAAGGGAAGAGGGAGAAAGCCAAAGAAGCTGAGGTGGCAGGAGTGGAGAGATTGGGATATGGTCTTCAGTCTCTGGGTCTCCATCAACTCTTGTCTGAGGGTGGATCTCTGTGCACTTTGTTTTTCTTCATACTGTCTCGGTGTTCTTGTTGGGACACAGCCAGCACTGATGCTCGGATTTCATCATCATCCCAGTTGTTCAGACCAAAGGCACACCTCAGTCACTGGGACAACAAAAAATGCAATCACTACTTACCTTCATTGAGAACCACTGATGCTAAAACATCAGAAAATTGGGATCCCCAAATCCCATCCAAGACATAGATGAAGCAGCACAACTGTAAAGGAAAATTCACAAAAACTTTCTGAAAGGGGTGTAATGGAGTAAGTTTTGATCAGAACAATAGCCTCACTTTGTTTTGGGGGAAAATTCTACAAGTAGAGTCCTCAAATAAGCACTTTTCACAGTCCTGCTGTTGTTTCTGATACATAAATTTTCCATATAAAAATAATGTAGTGCAACAGAAATAAGGACGGTGGGAGACTTTAAATTCAACATATCCATAAAACAAGGGTATGTAGACCTATAGTATATGCATTGTTGTAACTAATAGTGTTGTCATTGATGCCAATAATAATGTATACAATTTATTGAGCTGGTATGTGACTGTCTTAGCTGAGATTGCCTAGCAGCTTGCCTGGGACCAGGATTCAGGTGCACATGACTTTTGGGAAAAGCCTGTAAAGGGGTGAGGAAAGCAAGAAAGGGAAGCAGAAGTCAGTTAAGGATGAGGACTCAGGTAAATTCTTGTCCAGATCCACACGGTGCTCTGGAGGGTTCACACTGCAAAATTGTTCCACTATCCCACTTTGAGGCAAGAGGACCATTGTACCCTCATACTAGTTGGGCATTGCTTGCCCACCACCAAGCCAAAGTGGAGGTGGGGGATACAGAAGTATCATGAATCACTCAGGTGTCTACAGGCAGGACAGCTTCTACACTCTGAAAAATGAATGCTGAAAAAATGAATGCATGGATTAAGGAGGGTAAAGGGGGGCTGTGTGGGAGCACTAACAGTCTTTATTACAATGCCGGACACCTAACATATATTATTTTCCTTTTATTTTTGAAACAATCATGTAGGGGGCCTCTTTGAGTGGTATTGGGGACTGTAGTCCCATGCAAGCTGGGGCCTGGGAGAGAACCTGCAAGACCTGGTCAGAACACTGGTAATGTGGTTGATAGGCAAGACTGAATAATAACTCCAAGGGCCCCCTGGGGAAATCAGGCCTAGAAGTAAATTACATTCCTTGAAACATGCTTTGTTTCTCTCTCAAGCTCTGTTAATTTTATATCAGATAACCAGCTCAAGGCTGGAAAGAAATTTACAAAATTCCTGGACCCTGACCCAAATCCCACCTAGTGCCATGTTAGCTTAACTCAGACCCAAGCAGTTCGGGTTGTTCCTACCATTGTCTTCTTTAAACAGTAACTAGTCTCTGTAAGCTTAAATTACTGATACAATTAGATTACCTATACATTCCTGCTACCTATCCCCTGCTTGTAACCCTCTCAATAAAAGCCATTGAGCACAGGGGCTCAGGGCATTCTCCTTGAGAAAGAAGTGCCTTCCCCTTTGCTTGACAGGAAAACCATGTCTGGAAAGACTTGAACCCAGGGACTTCCAGAGTACCCCATACAATCAACTTTACAGAAAAGTTGCAAGTATGGTAGTAAAACCTTTCCATCTTCCCACCCCCAACCATTTGAAAGTAAGTAGCTGAACTAATTCTCCATAAATACTTTTTTAAGCACTTGAAGAATTTATTTTTACTTTATTTTTAATTAAGGTATAACTGACATGTGACACTGTATTAGTTTTAGGTGTCAACATAATTTTATGTGTATATATATGTGTGTGTATATGTGTGTGTGTGTGTGTGTGTGTGTATATATATAGCAAAATGATTACAGTAACTTTGGTTAAATTACCACACATAGTTACCAGTTTTTTTTCCTTAAGGTCTATTCTCTTAGGAACTGTCAGATATACAGTACAGTATTGTTAACTACAGTCACCATGCTGTATATTACATCCCCAGGACATATCTGTCATAACAGGAAATTTGTACTTTTTAACCATTTTCACCCATTTCACCCCCCCTGCCCCCCCCCCAAAAAAAGCACTTTTGATGGAACAATAATGATATAAGCCATGTTGGAGGAGGGTGAAAAATGAATGGGATGTGAGGAACTGGACACAGGATGTGTATAGCAACTCCTTGTATAAGCTGAGCTCTGAAGGGAAGTAGACTGGATAAAACATGGAAATGTAAGGTTACTGGATTGCGTGGATAAGATGGAATTCATGTTTAGTGTCAGTAAAAGGAGGTTCCAGCAGAAAAGAATAACCAAAGGAGAGACGTTTCAGAGCAGAGGGGAGGGAATAGGATTCTTGAAAACTACCTCAGTAGGAAATTAGGGGGGAAAAAACTACCATCTCAGATTCCAGAGAAATGGAATTTATAAAGATGTAATATAAACAAAAGTGCAATAGTATTGTGTAGCTATTTTTAATAAATAGGAAAATTCCCACTGGGACTAACTCCCCACAGAATCCATTCCCATCTGTATAATACAAGAAAGACTAACTCAGAGTGACTTTAATCAAAAGGGCAATAAATGAGGAACCGTTGTGTCTTCATTGAAGCTTTATATGGAGCCCTGGTCATGTCCCCTATCAACATCACTTAAGTGTAAACTTCTTTTTGCAAGATGCAAGTCTTGGCGTTCTATTGTAACTGAAGGAGAAACTGATTTCCATTGAAGGTTGAAAAAGAAGACCACAAATTTTGGGGGCTCCTCTCAAGAGGTGGGCTCCATTACTCTGTCCCTTAATTCTGCGCTTGCTTTGCTGTTGCTTTGGCCAGTAAAATACGGCCCAAGTGATACTTCCAAGATCAGGCCCGAACTGAGGTGCCCCAGCAGGGCGCCAGCACCAACTGTCAAGGGAGTGAATAACGCCATCCTGGAATTCCCTGCCCCGCTCAGCCAACCCTTGCTGACCGAAGCCACGAGTGTAAGCCCAGGTGAAACCAGCAGAGGAATCACCCAACTTGCCCATATACATGTTAGAAATAATAAATCGCTGTTTTAAGCCATCAATGATGGAGGCAGTTCGTTATGCAGCAATAGTTAACTGAAATTTTGGCTTGCTGGGGTAATTTCCCAACTGGATGAACCACAAGGATTTTCTTGCCAACTACAATGAGGGACACCCCAAGGGGTAACGATCATTCGCCTCCCTGTGTTTGTTTTCTGACCCACTTCTTCCTACAAGCACTCATTCCTTTAAATGCAATGTCTGAACACATTTTAGTTTCCTCGCCTTCCAAGCGAGTTATCAGCCTTTTGGATTGTGAAGAGGAGATCCGTTGAGGACCCGACGCAATGCCTGAACGCTCAGTAAGGTACTTGCTCGTTGGCACTGGGGCCTGGCGTCTGGCCCGTGTCTGGCGTTTCTGGCGGACTCCCCCAGGCTCGCTCCCTTCCAGCTTGACATGGCCGCCCCTCCTACCTTCGCCCCGGTTACCGTTAGCTCTCTCAGAGCGGGAGCGTCCACCTGAACTGGAGGATCTGTGGTGTTAGGTCGTGCACCCTGATCCTGCCTCTGATCTGGTATGGCGCTGGATCGTCCACTCCCATGGACCCTTACGAAGCCCACCGGCTGCGCCACCCGGCCCGGCCCGGCCCATCTCCTCGCGCTACTTCCGGGGCGGTCCCGGGGGCGAGGCAACAGCCTGCGCATCCGGCAGGATCTTGGCTAGCGTGAGGCCGGGCGGCCGTGGGCGCAAGCGGAAGCAGCAGGTGAGTTATGCCAGCCCGCGCAGCTCCGGGGCGCAGAGGGCCGGGAACTGGGGTCCCCAGCCGGGCACCGCATGTTGATGCTGGAGTTGCCGCGGTTTGTGCTCAGCCCTTGGGAGTAAGTCATCTCCGGTTGGAAAAGGGTTGGCGTCCACGGCTGATAAGGTGAAATAAAACGTACACAAGACCGTTTCTGGGTAAAGGGCGCACTGACAGAAATGGTAAAATAACTCGGAAACCTTTCGTGAAGGAGCTCGGCCTGTTTAGGTGGGTAAGTGGGACTGTTATTTTTTGCTTTCTCTTCGGTGATGAATCATGTTTGGCAATGCAGTGCCCGCTAGAACGCGGAACTAAGATTGTCCTCTTAGGAAAAACTGTAAAATTCATCATTACAAGGTGAAAATAGAGATAAGCAAAGTTAAAGAAAATTTTACCAGGCCTTCAAGACTTGACTGTATCCTGACCACAAGGAAAAGAGGATCATTCTTTTGGCAGACCTTTCTGTTACTGAAGCATGGAATAAGAGAGGTGTACTTGTCGCAAATGAATCCAAGCCTCCTCTAGGAGAGAGAAGATGTCCTGGTTTTAATAGCAGGCTCTCTCCAGAGCCCAAGAATTGAGAAGGTGGTTTCCAAAGGGGTCAGACATTGATATCATATAACTCATTTTTTTTTTGTTCGGATTCTGTATGCACCAAGCAAAACTGTAAGTTGGACAGGCTAATCTGAATATCTGGTTGACAAGATCCTTCACTGTCTCACCTTCATTCAACCAAGTATTGTAGATTCTCCATGCTTAAATCACTAGGTGATGTCTCTGAAGTATAAATCTGATCTTCCTGTTTCATTAAAACTCTTCAGCATCTCCTCCCTGGCCCTCAGGATAAAAGTTAAGCATTTAATTTGAATTTTTAAGTCTCTTCATTATCTGACCTTTACTTCTCCCACCTCCTTATCTCTTGCAACTCCCCTTTCTTGTGATCTTAAGTACCAATGGTTTTGTGTATTTTATGTTTCAGACAGTAGAATTAAATTCTTTGAATGGGTCTTTTTCTTTTTCTGTCAAGCTGTTATAAATTGTTGTACTACTTTTCCTTACCCCTTTTATATCTCAGCTTCAATGTCAGTTCCACTAATTTGAGGAATAGGTGGCCCTCTAATATACCTACTCTATTACAGCATTTATGATACTATTTTAATTATTGCCGTAATTGCTTTTTAATATCTCCCCCTAGATTATGAGTTCCTTGAAGACAAGAACCAGCTTATGACCTTAAATTTCTCTCATATCCACCTTGTTCTGTATGTTTGCTCTCCTAGTTCAGGCCCTTGTTACCTTTAGCTTGGACAGCTGCATTAGTCTGTTAACTGGTCTCCATGCCCCTGGTCTAGCTTTTCTTTAATCCATGCTCAATACTGCTGGCAGTGGTAGTTTTGTTTAATGCCTAGTTTAACATGTTCCTGCTTAAAACACTTCAATAGATCCCTGCTGCTTTTAGAAAAAGTCTAGATGTTTTAAAATTACATGAATTTTTCTCCTCCCCTTCTGTATTCCCTTACTACCTGTGCCTTGTAGGCACTCCATAAACATTGGTCGAGTGAATAAGGGACTACATCAAACTCAGTCAAACAGAACCAAGAACAAAGGGTTTAATCAAAGCAATGCAGTCTGGCCACACAGACTTCGTAGGGCAGTGTAGCCATAGGAGACTAGTAATATACTCTTTCCTTGAAGAAGGAGTCCTCAAAACATGCCTTATTATTAGATGACTCCTTGTCTCTGCATATGCCTAGAATATGCTACTCCCATCCACTTGGTAAACACCATTAGATTTCAAGACAGTTTAAGTATCCCGTCCTCTATTAAACTCTCCTGACCTTCTGGACAGAGTGTAAATTGGTTCAACTTTCCCATAGCATAATTTATCAAAATATGCCAGGAATGATGACAATGTGAAACTCTTTGACCTGGGAATTGTGTTTCTAGGACATTACTACAAAAGAATTTGGCCTGATTGTGGATCTTAATAATCCATTCCAAACCTGGCTGGGTGGCTCATTTCATTGGAGTGTTGTCCTGAACAACAAAAGGGTTGGGAGTTTGATTCCCAGTCAGGGCACATACCTCGGTTGCTAGTTCCATCCCCAGTCAGGGAACTTAATGGGAGGCAACCAATTTCTTTCCCACATTGATGTTTCTCTCACCCTCTCCCTCTCTCTTTCTCCCCATTCCTCTCTCTCTAAATCAATGAACATATCCTTGGGAGAGGATTAAAAAGAATTGTAAAATAAGTCATTCTATTCCAGTTAGTTAACCTAAAGGAAAATTGTGACCATCCTAAAAAACAGAATTGGAACAGAATGGTTTATTTATGATTATAACTAGTCGAAATACTTAGTGTAACTAGTATTTTCAGCATTTTGCCACTTAATAGTTAATCAGCACTGCCAAAAAAAAAAAAAAAAAAAAAAAGCGTCCAAACATAATAAATTGTTCATAGCCTTTCTATATAACCTGCTACTCAGATTGCCTTTCCCCTTGTCCTCAGGGTGTCCATCCTAATCTAATACTGATTTAAATGAGTTAGGTTGCCAGTAATTCATGTATCTCAAAGTCAGATAGGCACTATTCTGAAAGTATTATAAGGGCTTAATTAAATCTTTCCAGAGAGAAGTACATGAATACATTGTTGATAACATGGAAAAACTAGAAACAACCTAAAATTATTGTGTTGGCCAAAAAGTTCATTCTTTTTTTCCCATACAGTTGTCTTTAACTTCATTCGAAACAATTTTGTTAGATTGTATTGTGACAGCTATCAATACCAGCATGCATTTTTTAAAAATCTTATCAAAATTATTGAATTTTTATGTAGCCATTTTAATATTGAAGATGGAAGAAAATACACATTTTCAGCATATTATGCTTTATTATTTCAAGAAAAGTAAAAATGCAGCTGAAATAAAAAAAGATTTGTGCAATGTATGGAGAAGGTGCTATGACTGATTGAACATGTTAAAAGTGGTTTGCAAATTTTCATGCTGGAGATTTCTTGCTGGATGATGCTCCATGGTGGGGTAGACCAGTTGAAGTTGATAGCAATCAAATCGAAACATTAATTGAGAACAAGCAGTGTTATACGAGGCAGGAGATAGTGTACATACTGAAGATACCCAAATCAATAAAGTTATTCGTGAAAATGAAAACTGTGTCTTAATTTACAGAAAAAAGCATACGAACTTTTTGGCCAACCCAATACAAACTAAGAGACTGAGTAAACTGTGGTATATCTAATAATGGGATATTGCACAACATTAAAGCTAGTGTAAAACCAGATTTAACATTGAATAAAATAATAGTATGGTTCCACGTCTGTGGGGGAAAGTGTATATGTGTTTACACATGCTCAGGGAGTTATGGGTACATACCAATTTGTTCATTGCAGTTATCTCCAGGTGGTGGTATGTAGTTTTTTAATTAGCTCTTTTTGCTTATCTGTATATTCTCATTTTTCTCAATGAACTTATGTATTACCTATGAATTCAAAATAACTGGTTTGGCTTTGAGATATATTACATAATATACTTGCAGATTTATTGTTAGATAAATCTGTGTCCTTATTCCACTTCAACTGAAATTATTTAAGGTTTGTCTATATTTATTTCCTTCAAGTACTCTGTTGTAGAATTGCACAAGACGAATGGTAAATCACAAGGCAAGAATAAGAATAGCAGCTGGCCTGGATAGAGAATTAGATAAGTTTGGATTAAATAACCAAGAATTGATAACTAGAGAACAATTTAATTTTCCTTTTCTCAATCAGTTAATTTGTTTGTCTTCCATTTTTAAAAGCATGCTGATCCCATTTTCAAAGAAGAATTGCTTCCAGTTACTTTGTAACCTCAAGGTCCCAGCAACTGGCTTTAAAAACACAGTAAAAAGGGGGCTCATTTTACAGTCAGCTTCCAATGATGTTTACCAAAATCTGGCTGTAGAAGACTGGATCCATGACCAGATGAACCTAGAAGGCAAGCCAGTCCTGTTCTTTTGGAGAAATTCTCCTTCTGTTGTAATTGGCAGGCATCAGAATCCTTGGCAGGAATGTAATCTGAATCTGATGAGAGAAAAAGGTGTAAAACTGGCTCGGAGAAGAAGTGGAGGAGGAACAGTTTACCATGATATGGGTAATATAAATTTGACTTTTTTCACAACCAAAAAAAAGTATGACAGGATGGAAAATCTAAAATTAATTGTGAGAGCTCTGAATGCTGTCCAACCCCAGCTGGATGTGCAGCCTACCAAAAGATTTGACCTTCTTCTTGATGGACAATTTAAAATCTCAGGAACAGCCTCTAAGATTGGCCGGACTACTGCTTATCACCATTGCACTTTGTTATGTAGTACTGATGAGACCCTCTTGTCATCTTTGCTCAAGAGCCCTTACCAAGGAATCAGGAGCAATGCCACTGCCAGCATACCTTCCTCAGTAAAAAATCTTCTGGAAAAAGACCCCACTCTGACCTGTGAAGTACTAACAAATGCTATTGCTGCAGAATATGCTGCTTATCATCAGATTGATAATCACATCGACCTGATAAACCCAGCAGATGAAACACTTTTTCCTGGAATAAATAGCAAAGCCAAAGAACTACAAACCTGGGAATGGATCTATGGCAAAACTCCAAAATTCAGTGTAAAAACTTCCTTTAATGTGTTACATGAACAGTCATACTCAGAAATTAAAGTATTCATAGATGTAAAGAACGGAAGAATTGAACTTTGTAACATTGAAGCACCAGATTATTGGTTGCCACCGGAAGTATGTGACAAATTAAATTCAAGTTTTATTGGCAGTAGGTTTTGCCCAATTGAAACTACTATGCTAGCAAATATACTACGTAGAACATGCCCAGAAGACAATGAACTATACAATAAATGGAATATTCTCTGTGAAAAAATTAAGGGAATAATGTGAATGCAAGTAAATTTCTTAATATTGGCAGGTTCAATAAGAAAATAAAAACTTTCAATGTATATGTCTCTTAAAAGGCCGTAGCCTCTTTCAGTAACTTCTCCCCATATATGTCTATCATCTATTCTTGTCCATATTTTCTACTGACCTCTAGGATGCTTTGTCTCTTTCCTCATTGATTTTAATACCTAGCATTTGTTCATATTTCAGCTTCTGCTTCTGTTACCATCTTGGGAATGTTTACCATATGGGACACTAACTTTGGAGTTAGTTCTTTTTCTTACCTCTGGGGAATACCAGCCAGGCTTCTTGCCACCCCTGATACCTTAAACTCTAAAATTCTCCCTTTTAGCTTTGATCTTATCCTCCCATCCTCTCCCACTAAATCAAGCCTTTTTTAACTTGTATAAGCCCTGAACTTTTCCTTAATCTCTTGCTTCATCTCCCTATCCTAGCTTGAATTATTTCAAATCCATTGCCCTTTCTTACCAGCATTCTCATTTGCCTCTCTCTTGACCTATCTTAGCCACCTTTTTTAAAAAAACTCCAACAATTGATTTTTTTTACTCCTATGCTCAGGTGGCAGGCAATGTGGGAAGAAAATTCACATAATTCATATTAACCCAATTCATATTTACAACTTTCAACTTATATTTTCTTCTTTCTGATGTCCCTCACATTTTTCAGAGGCATTATTCCTAAATGTTTCCACTCTTCTTCAACTCATAATTCCACTACTCTTGTCACAAACATTGATTTGTATTTTGAGAGCAGAGACCTTCAGAAATGAGCTCCTTTAGCCTCCCATGTTCTGTATTTTAACATCTCAATTCATCCAATTTCAGAAAAAGAACTCTTTTTCATTACAGTTAATCCCTCTAATTGTACCCTGGTTTTTTTGTTTGGTTGGTTTTGTTTTGGGGTTTTTTTTTTCTTTTCCATCCTGTTTGAGCCTTATACTATCAAATATTTATCTAATTTTTTTGTGTTTTCTCTCTACTTCCATGGGATCCTTACCTGTAGTAAATGAACATGTTTATGTCTCCTTTTTCTCCAAACCCTCCTGCTCAAAGTTTTATTCTTTCTTTCCATCTCTTCATTGCCAAACTTCTCTAAAGAGTAACATCACTGCCAACCATTTCCTGACTCAAGTTCATTCAGATATTCCTTTTATTCGCAGAGTACTTACTATGAGTTTATTGAGTGCCTACTAGGTGCCAGATGCTTTGCTAGTTGTTGGATATTCATGATGAGTGAAAGACACATGGTCACTGACCTCAGGAATTCAAAGTTTAGTATACTGGCTTTCAAACTTTTTAAAAACGAGTAAAATATTTTATATTGTGTACTAGCACACACACATTATATATCTAACAAGTTCAAAATACAGTGTTTATCTTTTATTTTTAAAGATTTTATTCATTTTTAGACAGAGGGGAAGGGAGAGAGAAAGGGAGAGAAACATCAGTGTGTGGTTGCCTCTCGTGCACCCTGTACTGGGGACCTGGCCTGCAACCCAGGCATGTGCCCTGACTGGGAATTGAACCAGCAACCCTTTGGTTTGCAAGCTGGTGCTCAATCCACTGAGCCAAACCAGCCAGGGCCCAATGTTTATCTTTTTTACTTATCCGATATTTTATACTCAATTTTATTTCATTTTTTAAACATGGAATTTATGACCCATTTAATAGGTCAAGATCTGAATTTAAAAAACTTAAGCCTAGTGGAGAAAATAGACAAATCAGAAAATAATTACAAAATGAGAAGAGTATGAAAGAAAAGTCCAGGTGGTTATAATAGACAATTATAGGGCCTACCTAGCTAGAGCTATCAAGGAGATGACTTTGAACCTGAGACCTGAAGAATAAGAGGAAAGCAGCCATGCAAAGTGAAGAGTATTTCAGATCTTACCAGTTATCTATTGCTACAAAACAAAGCACTTCAAAACCTGGTGGCTTAAAACAGCAATCATTTATCACCACACACTCTGTCCTCTGGCAGTGCCTGCTAGTGCTCAGGAGGTTCAAAGTATTCATTCCCTTAGAGATTGGAATATTCTGTCCTGCATGGAGGGTTGGCCAGGTGGGACCCTGGAAATCAGTAGAGGAGGTAATACAAATTCTTAAGGAGTTAAGAATGAAACAGGCCATCTATACCCTTGTCTGAAGTCCCAGATTGAGCCAGTCACTGCAGGAATGAAAGCCAAGATACTTCAGTCCAACCCCAGCACCACATATGGGCAACTAAGCTCAATCTTAGGGTGACACATTTGAGGTTGGGCAGTCCACTGATGATCTGGAGGAAGCTGACAAATCCCAGGAACAGGTACAGACTATGGGAAAGACTCAAGACAGAAAATTCAAGTCAAATGGTTATCCCAATCTGCTTTAAAGGGTCTAGTAAAAGTAATCCAGAAGCAAATGTGGTTTGGCATCATTCCTGTTGGGATCCCACCTGAAAAAATAGACCAGCCTGGGGAAAGCCTTAAAACCTGAACAACAGTTCAGACCTGGCCCTACGACCCCTAGTACCCTGCCTGCTCCAGCAGGAGCCTGAGATACAGTCCTATTTGGGGTGGGTGCCTCCCATCCCCTGGGTATGGGACACAGGCCAAGACCACCTCCAGGGGCCATTTGGGGCAATCGGGCTCCATTTGAGCTCACTGGTCTCCCAGAAATAAAAGGTGATGGTTTTGGTTGATAATGGAGCCAAGTGTACTTTGATACATGGTAACCCTCAGAAGTTTTCTGGCCCCTTCAATGCCATCAATGGTTATGGAGGGGAAACATTTAATAACCAGGAAGGTCCCTTTGACACTGCAAATTCCCCCACTAGACTAGGAAGTTTTTCTCTTTCCAATACCACATAGCATATTGGGCATTGATATCCTACTAAGTCAAACTCTGCAAACCTCTGTTTGTGAATTCAGCCTTTGGGTCAGAGTTAAACCAGTGCTGAGGGGGAAGGCCAACTGAGAACCAGTAAGTCTACTGCTCCCACCAACAATGGTAACTGTCAAACATAGAGTGCTGGGGTCAAGGTTAAGGAGCTAGAACCTATCTGAGAATTGCACCAAGTGGGTATGGTACACTTCCACATAGTGCTCTCAACAGCTTAGTATGGGCTCCAAGTGAGTGTTCTAAAGAAGCCTTGGTTTGTGTGGACACTACATCTGGCTTAACCCAATTTTTCCCTTGTCACCACACAAACTGGACTGCTACCATTAGGGGATTAGAGAAGCTGAATACCATGTACAGAGACAGTGATTGGGGTCACATTTCAATGGTCACGATGTGCAAGATTGGACAAAAGAACATGACACTGAGTGGAAGTTTCATGTACTCTATAACCCACAGGCAGCAGGGCTGTAGATGGAAGAATGGAATATTAAAGGTGCAGATGAAATTACTAACAGGTAAAACCAACTTGGTTGGGTGGACTAAAGTGCTGCATTAACCAGTAGAGCCTGCTGCCCCATATGCCAGACTGTGGAACCCTGAGTTGAAGTGTGAATGGGTGGTGAAGAAAGAGGAAAAAAGCTGTATTTCAAGAAGCTTGTTTATGAAGAGCAGACAGGATAGTTACCTGCATGAGATGTGTGTACTGCAGGAACAATGTAGTGGAGAAGAGAGACTGCTCAATGGATGAAATCCTTGGTGAGGCTAAAGGTGAGGTCAAGTTAACTTGCTGAAAATGTCACTAGCGTTTATGTATTAGGCCTGATAACCCTTTTTCTACATGTTATAAATTTGAACTCATGTTTTTAATTTTTTATGGTTCCCTTTACTCGTTTTAAGTATTTACAAAATTATCAAATCTTTTTGCCCTTTCCTTGATAATTCCTGGTTCTTGCTTTGTGCTTAATATACTTAGTGGATTTCTTAAATTGATTTTTCATTTAATTAGCACTTTAATCCAGTTAGAGCAATTTTTCTAGGCAGAGTAGAGATCTAATGTTATTTTTTCCATTTATTGAATAGTATATTCTTTCCCCACTAATGAAAGACAACTTCATTATATATTCATTTTCTCAGATGTGTTATCAGACTCCCACTGATTTGTCCATTCTTATGCCCAGATATTTTTTAAAAAATTTTTGTAGCATTATGTCTTTATAGCTTGTCAAACAAGTCTCCTAGTGTAGTCACTTTTGACATTTAATTTATAAATTAACTTAGGGAGAATTGACATCTTACTAAGACTTTCCACTCAGGAATATAATTTGTCTTTCCTTTTACATCCTTTCCTAAAGGTTGTTTTTTTAAATACAGTTCTTGCGTATTACTTGATATGTTTAATAGATAAACACATCTGGTATTCTTCTGGGAGTCTAATAGGATCTGGGAGTAGAACTTCAAATATAGCATTGTCTGTAGTCTCTCTTCCCTAAATATTCTTTCTGAGGCAGGGTTTCTATGAGAGTTGAATAAAAGTTAATTTCACAGGGTTGTGGATTCCTGATTCTCTAGTGACAGATCCATTTGTTCTAGAAATCAGAGTTTTTATTTTAACATGTAAGTAAGACGATCTAATACATATTCTCACCTAAAGGAAAAGTCACTCCCACATAACAATGGGTACCTGGCAAAATAAGCCAACATCTGCTGCAGAAAGGAACTTTGTATCAGGTCCAATATTTGTGCAAGTGCTCTCCTGAGACCCCTAATTTCCACTGTAGACAGACTGAGCCTCTTTGAAAGGGATGAAAATGCTCAATTATTTACTTTGAGCCTCTCCATAAATATCCAGTTCAGGCACTCCCAAAGAACTTTGTTCTGTGCATGCACTGGTCGCTACCAGCCAGTGGCAGTAAACTGGAAAGCAAAAAACTCTGCTCTGCACCTAGGAAAAGAATGAAGTCCTACATAAGACATACCCCAGTAGCAGTTCTAGGAGCCGCATTCTTCACTACTGTATGCTTCCTTGATGCATCAAGCTCCCTCCCTTTCTCCTTTCTCTCCATCTTGTTTTCAGTAAATCTCTTTTGAATCTGTTTCATCTCCTCTTGATTTCTATCTTTTACCTTCACTTGTGACACATATAATAAAGGCCTGCAAAACTAGTTCGAGTATTTTCAGGTTCAGCATTATCAGCACCTTGACAAAACATCAGGAACTTTTCTGGAAGCTCTTCTTGTTTGTCCACAAAATCAAAACATAAACCTGGTGTCTAAAGCCACCCAGGACTACTCTGCTTAACCTTAGTCCCATGGCTTCCTTCCAGCTGGTTTTGGTCTTCTACACTATTTAATTTTGAATTTAACCTTTGATCTTTCCCTGATGTGGTGTTTATATGTGCACTCTCCAATAGCAGTACTTCTATTTATTTATATCTACAGACTCTGGCCTGGCTTATTCTTTATGGTTCTGGACTGTTCACTACCTCCACCTGTATCCACTCTCCCAGTCCAACTCCATGAAACCTAGTCTTTGTCCCCAACCAGCCACCTGGTATCTGGATGAATGAGCTTACCCAGAATAGTTAATTCTAAACTGCAAAGCTTTGCATTTGTGCCAGTCAAGTTTGAATGAGCTGCAAAATGCATCAGATAACTAAATAGGTTGATTTGCCTGTATGGAGTTGGGTCATATTGGAAAACGATGTTGGTAAATGTCTGCCAAAGACATTTAATTGTAACAAAATTCACATTGTATTTTTTCCCCCCTGGATATTAGACCCACAAGCCCATCTGTCTCCTAAGACAGAGGTCCCCCAATCCCCAGGCCCAGTACCAGTCCACGGCTTGTTAGGAACGGGTCACAGGAAGCAAAGCTCACAACCTGAACTCCGCCTCTGGTCCCATCCCCCACCCCACCTTCACGAAACGGGTTGGTGGTGCCAAAAACGTTGGGCACCACTGTCTTAAGAGTACTCACTCTTATCCATAATTTTTTCACCTGAACTCTTAAATTTCCAGGGGCAATATTAACATCCAATTCGTCTTTATAATAGGTGCTCATTATTTGTTGATTCACTCTCCAACAACCAAGTAAGAGAAAAGCTGGTAAAATGTTTAAATTTACCATATGACTTAATACACTGTAAATCTAAGTAATGTATTTACAAAAATATTTAGGATTGGTCACGTAACTGAACAATGGATCCATAAATTAGTAGAAATATACAAGTTTATTGTTAAATTCACATATTATAGGAATGATCTGTCCAAAGTTAAGAAAATACAATATTCACTCAAAATAGAAATATACAGTGTAAATTATGCTACTACCCATCATATTTTTTTTGTGTGCTTGTTATGAAAAATGTCCACTGTTGTTTCATGACATGGTCTTAAATCAAAATCACAATATCCAAGGGAGAAACGACTCTGAGAAGAGAAGAGGTTTTTTTCAGCAAAAAGGACCAAAGCCATGTTGTTAAAATGATACAATAATAGTGCTGCCCACTCATATGGCTATATCCTACCTGTGGTTTCTTAAAATAATCCAGTCCCCTTCCAATCTTAATCATCCATCCATTGTTGAACCTATTGAAATTAGTATATAGTATTATATTCCAGTCAGTTATATATCAGACAATTATCAAAGCTGTAGAGTATGAAGTATCAGAAAATCCTCCCTAAGAGAAAATCATTTCCTCCAGTAGCATGAGTTGAACCACACCTGGAGGTAACTCATGGGCTGTGTCTACAACAAAGCAAAAGGTCTACAGAAACCATGGGTTGATTTAATTAGCTGATAGAGTTTAACAATTACATTAAAACTTACTCTTAAACTTCAACTTGCTGATAAAACTTTCCTGGTTTGTCAACATGTGGTTTCAAAGTATAGTCAGGCGGCCTGTGGGGGTGTTTCAGGGGTTGTCCTACATAGCAATGGGGGAAGTAAACATGAAGAGCTCTGGATCCTGACCTCTGCTTCAGCCACAGCAGCTGCATTTTCATCAGTTTTGCATTTAGGTGGTGCTTAAGTTTTTACTAAAACTGAGGGTGCCATTGCTATAACCATATGAAAGCTACTATGCCAAACAGGGGAAACATATCACTAAAAAACCTGCATATACCATTTCCTCATAGACACAGCATACTGTCACACCTACTAGAATATTTTATAAACTGTAAGAAGTAAAGCCACATTAAATATCAGTATCACCAGAAAAGGAAATAAATTTTCCCAATACCATAATACAATATGTATAGTTGAACAGACAGAAAGGAACTTTCTCTTTTCACATGCCACAGAATATGTAAATTTTATTCCTTTAGGAAATATGAAACACAGGAAAAATAAGATTTTTTTCCTTCAAAGGTGAAAAGATACTATAAGCTTTATTTAAAAACTTTTATATTTAAGTTAAATATTTATATGCAAATATATAAAACTTAAGAAATAAAAATAAGTATTTTTCAACTGCATGAAAGTTAAAATATTACTATACACTAACCTAATTTCTCGGTCATGTATTGAAGAAGAGTATTCTAATTCCAACAGCACTCCATGATTCCTGAGTGACTCTTTTATTTCTTTCAGACCACTAATTTGTTGTTCTTTCCCACTGCCCTGTTAATAGAGGGAAAAAACAATTTTCTGCCTCAGTTATTAATATTTTAAATTATCCCTGAGCTATGCAATGCATATCATAGGTGAATTAAAATGGAAAGATTCTATACTAATTTCAATGTCTATTAGTCTCAAAGAAGCAACCAAAGAATATGAAGTGGTTTATGAGCAATTGTTTTTATCAAAAGATTAACTGTTTTTTCTAATGTAGATATAACATAACTCTGTCCTATCTCCTACAATGTATTTAGTAATGCTGTTTAGTTATTCAGATGGGGCTGACTTGTTCTCAAATTAATCCTAGAAATTTGAATTATTAGAAGCATTCCTATATAAGTCAAAATCAAGAGAGAGAGATGCTCATTATCATGCTATGATCCCCCAGAATGTCAATGCAATCAAGAAAAAGAGTTGCAGGTAATAACTGGTAGAAAATAAGTGACATAAAATTGTCAATAGTGCAGACAGTGTGACTGCCTCCTAGAACATCCAAGAGACTAAGTTGACCAAGTATTCGAATAAGAGTTTAGCAAAGTGGCCAAATTCAAGGTATAAGTACTAAAATCAACAGCATTTTCTCAAGGTGTTTTATTCCCATTATTAGATAATAAGTTCACCCCAAGGAAATACCTCTAGCTGAAGCATTATGTCCCATTTTCCTTGCTTCAGCTGCATCTTATAGCTGAATAAAATGAAGTTAGGAAAGAGTAAATGCCTTCAGATACCTACTTCATCCAGGGAGGTGAGAAGATGAATCGTTTTTACTTTACATGGTCTCTTAATAAGCATCTCACAAAAGCGAAGAAAGTTATACAGCTGAAAGATATTAGGATGGGTTACTACTAACTCATACATTTTAAATAACAGTTCATCACATGTTAGTTTGTTTCACTTACCTGATGAGTGTGTCTAATATAAGGATCTTCTACCCAAACTTCTCTAACTGTCTCATTAAGGTATTCTTGAAAAAGTGACTCGTAACTGAAACCTGTTGCATTCTCCTCTATTTTAATTTGTTTGTGATATTTCCCATCTACAAAACACAAGCTTTAATTAAAAAAAAAATCCAGTGGCAACTTTTCTTTTTATACATATTATATTGATAGATAGTGATTAATCAAGATCAGATACAAATTAATTTTTTTAACTGCTCCACTCAGTAAACATTTGTGAATGGCTGCTGTATACAAGGCACATGGCAAGATGCTACCTATACAGAGGTAAATAAAGCAAACCATTCCATGAGTGACTTCTGCCTTAATGGAAAGTAGGAAAGTCCAGAGATTTCTTGGAACAGTTTCTTGAGCTGATTCCTAGAAACCAGGCATTTTATTCAAGAGAGGACTATACATATTCAAGAGAGGATATCTGATATTCTTGTCACCATGGGTAGAACTACAAATTATAATTCAGTGGCTATCTGGTCCTTCTTTTAAGATTTAAGCCTTTGATGTTCTGCAATATAATAGCTAACATGAGTATTAAATACATAAATGCAGTATGATATGGAATTTAGAAGTCTTAGAACTTGCAGGGAGTGTTTTAAGCAGAAATTGATAGTACTTTTCAATAATCCAAGCCAAGACCAGAGTGCCAGAAGATTAGTAGGATAGTTCAAGAAGGTTTGTTCATTCAAAATGAATAATTCTTGGAAAGGTTATCAATCCAAGATCTTTAAGATTTTTTAAAAATATAACCCCTAATGTGTAGTTCGTAACTTATATGTTAGTTGCACTTTCAAACTGTTTAAAAACCAGTAATTTGGATTTTGTTTCTAATATTTCCACACATACAATGTTAGCAACCATGCATCCCTTTTGAAGCCAGTTAAGCCATATAGGTTAATTCAACCCGAAGTATTCAAACCACAATGCTGATGTTACTATGTTTCATCAATGTTTTAGAGAGAAATTTCATTGTATATTTCAGTTTGGGATTAAGGAAAGAATTTTATTCCCACTCAACAGAGGAGCTCAGAGGGGTTCCCAGGGTATGGGCTGGTACAGAATACTAGGAAGAGGTGAGGAGAGGGCTGTAGTCAGGAGAGCAAGAAAGAGCAGCTGGGAGGTGGAGGCACTGGCTTATTAGGGCTGTAGTTCCTTTGTCTGCAGAAAGCAGCTACAGTGTGCACTTCAGGCAACTGTGGCAATGGACACTTATATTTGCCTGTAAACTGGATGCTCATAAAGAGAGAACTAATAATAAGAGGAAACAATATCACTGCATCTCTAATCATTAGGAATACTTCCAAAATGTTTTGATTCACAACAAAACCCCAAAGAAGTCCCAGGAGTTTCTTTAGATACTATAGTATTTTGGTCATTTTATAGAGAGAAATACAAATTAAATACAGGATTCATGTTCAGTATTCCTGTGCAGTGTTAACTTAAATTGGGTGTACACATAAACTTCATGGGGATCTGTGAATTTCTTAAAACAGCAGGTGAAGGTCTGCAGAATTTTTAGCTTTCCTCAGATTCTCAAGAGGGTGTCTGACTACCACCTCACTCCCCACTCATTTCCCCCTGCCCCCCCCAAAAAATAATAGCTTCTGTACAAGAGAGCAGAAATGCAGAGTAAACCTGTCAGCTCCAGGGATAAATGATCTAGACCTCACAGAGTTCCAAAGGCAGAGGCAGAAACACTAAGTGAAATGGGCTTTGTCAATAGTGTATGAACACATTCTCTAAAACAGCCACTTTACCTTCTTTTTCTTGATCCAAGTATTTCTTTATGTTTTCTGCTCTATCCATGTAGCCAGAAATTTTTTCTCTGAGATTACATTTCTTTGTATCATCTTTGGTGCCTACAAATTAAAAAATATATTCCCAAATTTCAAAACTGTTTTTCTACTTAGTATAGGCATTATTTCCAGCTTCCCAAGTCTTCCACACATTTCCTATCCCTTAACCGGTTTGCTTCAGGCCCCAAAACACACAATTTTCACTTGATCATTGATGCATTAAACATCTAAAGCAGCTTTATTTCGGAGGGGGGAACTCTGACACTGTGGCTCTCTGCTGGATACACCAAATGTGGTAAGGTGGCTTATTACATGTTAAACCTGAGTCTGAGCACTAATTTGCCCGAATCACCCACAGGTTTGAAATCTTAGCATAATCAAAAGAGAGCTACAATATCTAGCTTTCTTCCACAAAACCAACTTCTCTTCCAGATTTCTCCATTATAGTTTATGCTCATTTTCCTAGCCACCCCAAAATGTAAGGTAATTTTGAATACACATTATCAATAAAATCTTACCTCAAAGTCTCAACCCCAATCAGTTACCAAATCACTTCTGGTTCCTTCTTTTTTAAAACACTCAGTTTCTTAAACATTTTATTTTGAACTAATTGTGTATTTATAGAAAATTGCAAAAATAGAACAGACTCCTTTCACCCATATTACCCTAATATTAATATAGCACATAATCATAGTACAATGATCAGAGTTAGGAAATTAAAATTCATACAACACTATTAAGTCATCTATAAACCTATTTCCCCAATTTTTTCACTAAAAAAGTTTGTTTTCTGGTCCAGGATCCCACTTGGCATTTAATTGTTACATCTCATCCTTTGTGTCCTCCAATTTGTAATACACTTCAAATTGTGTTAGAAATTTGTAATACAATTTGAAATGTATTAGTTCCTTGGTCTATATTGGGTATTGGAGCACACTGTGGGTGGCCTTGACTGGTAGAGATTTTAATTAACTCATTCCATAGACAAAGAGAAACCATTTAAAGTTTTTAACAAAGCAATGACATAATTAAAGTTGCATCTCAGGGCTTTTCTTTCTTAGGAATATGTTCTTTTCCCAAATATTTGCATGGCCTACTCCCTCTCCTTTTCAGTCTTTAAACAAGTGTCACCTTCTTTGTGAGGCCTTCCTGTAATAGTTCCTTAGTCTCTCTCTGCCTTTTATGACTTTGTCCTTTAGGAAGAAGAGTGGTTATTTTGTGGAATGTCTCTCATTTTGGGCTATTGATGTTTCCTCACGATTAGATCAAAGTTATGCTTTTTTGGCAAAAAAATCACAGAAGTGTTATGCCCTTCTCAGCGGGTACATGATGTCAGTGTGTCTTATTACTGGTGATGTTAACTCTGATTACTTGGTTAAGGGGGAGTACATGAATCTCTCTGCTGTAAAGTCACTTATTTTCTCCTTCATAATTAAGTATCTTGTGGAAAGACATCCTATTTCTCATCACTCTTTTACCCATTAATTTTAGCCTCCTTTGATGGTCCTTGCCAATACCAAGTATGACTGCTGTTTGCCAAATGGTGATTTTTCCATTGCCATCATTCCTATTAATTAATTGGAATTCTACTATAAGGAAGAACTGTTCCTTCTCCCCTTCTGTTTATTTATTCAATTACTAATTTATATCAATATGGATTCATGGGTATTTATTTTATTCTATGGGTAATCCAATACTACCATTATGTTCTTGCTTAAATATTATCAGATTTGGCTTTGAGGGCTTTTTAATGTTGGCTCCTGTATTCTTTCAACATGCCCCCATCATTTTTTGAGCACCTCGTTACTTCCTGGTACAAAATGTTTTAAACTCATCTTGCATTTTCCCTGCCTCAGCTCTGGAAGGAAACATTTTTCCAAGGAGCCCTGGTTCCTTTTATTGGAGAATGGTATCAAGAAATCAACTTCTGGGTGCTAAGTGTGTTCATTGCTACTAGGAAAAGTCCTATCACTACATCTAGACTCTTTCAGTCAACACAGCTAGAAAGTATACGTAGGTTCACTAACATACACATACAGGCTTACTCCAGAGATAGTGCAGCTTCAGTTCCAGGCCACTGCAATAAAGTGATTTTTGCAATAAAGTGAGTCACACGAATTTTTTGGTCATGTGCCAATTTCAAAAATTCAATATCCGTACTGTCTCCTCCTTTTCCTAATATTGGCATCATCTCCCTGATTCATTCAGGCCCCTAATCACCTCTCATTTTGATTCCTGCAGGAGTACCTTAATTGGTTTGCTTGACTTTATTCTCTTCAGTTTAATGTGTCTCCTACAAATCTTCCCATATTCACTGATTACTCAAGAAATAATTATTGAAAATTTACTATGTTCCAGGTGTTGTTCTAAGCACTGGGGGTATAGTAGTTAATAAAACAGACACAATTCTCCCCTATCATTCAGATGTGAGGAAAGACAACAATTGAATTTGTAAAACATGTATGTTAGATGGTGATAAGTGGTATTAAAGAAAATAAAGGAAGGACAAGGGAGTCGGGGGTGGGGTTGTGATATTACCCTAGAGGTCAGGGAAGGCCTCACAAAGTAGATATTTGTGTGAACACTGAAAAGGAGAGGGAGTAGGCCATGCAAATATTTGGGAGAAGAGCATATTCATAAGAGAGAAAAGCCCTGATTAATTTATTTATTTTTCCAAATACATTTGTGTCCACCTTCCCCCCACCACTTTCCCCTGCCCCCCTCTCCTCTCCCTCCCTCAATCCTTCCCCTCTTTGGCTTTGTCCACAAGTCCTTGCTATATGTTCCTTGACTTGCCCCTTCCCTCCCTCCTTCCCTATTCTCTTTGTTGGTTTCTTTTTCATTCAGTGTTGCTGGTCTTATTTTCCTTGCATCTTTGTTTTGTTGGTTAGGTTCCACTTATAGGTGAGATCATATGGTATTTGCCTTTTGCCCCCTGGGTTATTTCACTTAGCATAATGCTCTCCAGTTCCATCCATGCTGTCGCGAAGTGTAGTAGTTCTTTATTTCTTCCTGCTGCGTAGTATTCCATTGTGTAAATGTACCATAACTTTTTGATCCAGTCACTTACTGATGGGCATTTAGGTTGCTTCCAACACTTGGCTATTGTAAATTGTGCTGCTATGAACATTGGGGTGCACAGGTTTTTTGTATTGGTGTTTTGGGATTCTTAGGGTATAGTCCCAGCAGGGGAATCACTGGATCAAAAGGCAGTGATTAAAAAAAAAGAAATAAAAATAAGATGGCAAGTATTCTACTTTTCTTTTTAATAAAGGATGTTTTTAAAAAATAAAAAAAAATAATTAAAAAAAAAAAGAAAAGCCCTGAGATGCAACTTTAATTACATCATTGTTTTGTTAAAAACTTTAAATGGTTTCTCCTTGTCTATGAAATGAATTAAAATCTCTACCAGTCAAGGCCACCCACAGTGTGCTCCAAGACCCAATCCACCTTTAATCTTTACTTCTCACTCTTCCCCTATAGACATATGCCAAACTAAAGTGTTCCACTTATTTGGACAAACAGTACAAACAGAATTTGAACACTATTAACTGAATTTCTGATTTCTGAAATTCTAGTTATTCCTCCAAAGGTCCTATAACAAAAATGCCACATCCACCTTTCCACTCCCAAATGACTTTTAACTGTTTAAATCCTAACTGCCCTTGTCCCTAGTTCTTTCCTGGCACTTATGCCCTGTATTTGAGTTATTGTCCATCTGTACCTTAGCCTGTAAAATCACATCACTGTCTCTGTAATCTCTACATGATCAGTGGAGCACACTGGAGCAGTAATTCCTGTGATTCTGCTTCAGATTCCTAAAGCGCCAGGACTTCAGCAGCCTTCCACCTGACCAACAGTGTACACCATCTCTTTTTGGGAGTCAGTACACCAGAGTCTTTAAAGCTTTGGCTTCCAATTGTGAGTCTACCAACTGTAGCAGAATTGGAAAGCAAAATTTATTTTTTTACGTTATGAGGATAATATCATCTCCCAGCACAACTTAAAGATGAAATGAGATCATGCTTTTAATGTGTTCTGCACAGTGCCTAGCCATTAGCACTCATAAATGATAATACTCTTATTGTTATCATTCTCGTCATTAAATGGGCCCCAAGCAAGGCAGTTTTATAGTTGAGAGAAACGCCAAACATTAAAGAGGGCCCTCTGCTGTCTCAAAACTCCTGTAACACTTACATTATAAACACAGGTTAAAAGGCACACAGGAGGGGAGATCTGAGGCCAGACTCTGGGCTCCAGGGTGAGGGAAGCAGAGGCTGGTCTACATCAGTTTAAAACATTTACTGGGTGTACTAAGTACCAGAGATTGTCCTGGTATGAGGGTTATTTGGATACTTCACGACACTGAATAATTATGTAACAAAGTCTCACTGTCCCCACCCACAATCTATTTAGCATTTCTCACACCGAATATCAATAAACCTATTTCTTACGAAAAAACTTTTTTCTTCTATCACTATATGATTTTATTTTTGTTTACTTTTAATTAAACTGTTTAAACAGAAAAAATTAACAGTGTAATCAACTTCCTTATTACCCAGCACCTAGATTTAAAAATTGTTAGCATTTTTGCCACATTTGCTTCCATGTTTCTTCCTGAAGTACTTCAGTCTGCACTCAATCTCTAAAAATTAAAGAGTTTTTAAAAAATAAAAATTAAATAAGTTTTCTAAGAAACCCTACTGCCTAACAAAGCTAATAATTTTAATATTCCTAGATCCACATTCTAACTTTCCAAATTGATTTAAAAATGTCTTCTAGCCCTGGCCAGTGTGGCTCAGTTGGTTGGAGCGCCGACCTGTGTTCTAAATGTTGCTGTTTCGATTCCCCGTCAGCGCTTAAGCCTAGGTTGCTGGTTTGGTGCCCCGCCCAGGCACCACGATCCCCGGTCTGGGCGGCCCCGGAGTCTACCAATCCTTCTCTCTCTCCTGGATGTTTCTCTCTCTCTAAAAGCAATAGAAATAAAATGTCCTGGGTGAGGACAAAAATTTTTTTTAATGTATTCTACAGTTCGTTCAAACACAAGTCCTACCAAGGCTTATATAGTCTATTTGGTTATATCTCTTAAAACTCTATAGTAGTATCGCCAACCCCCGTTTCTTGATGACATCAATCTATTAAAGATATAAAAGAATCAGTACATTATACCTGTAAAATGTATCACCTTCTGTATTTGACTGCTTCCTCGCTGTGCACAAAAGTCATTAACTCTTACACTGCGTCCGCGACACAGCGGGATCCCGAGCCTTTTCCTGTAATCCTCCCTCCTGTGTTCATTACTCACCTTTTAAAACCTGCAAGAGCAGGTCAATCCCCTCCTGGTAACACACCAAAGCCTGCTGGTATCGGGACTCGGAATCTAGCTCCACTGCTCGTTTTAGCACAGTGGCTGCAGCTACGCTCTCGGAACCCAGCCTCGACCCAGACTTGGCCATAACTCTGGAAACTCCTCTTCCACTTCAAACCCAGGCAGTGTTGGACTGCTCTGCCGCGCTTCCGGGAGTGATCACGTGACTGCTCTGTCTTCCCTTGGCCCTTGAGTGGGAGGGACTCTGCCGGAACAAAGGTGCAGCGTTTTTGCGCTCCCAGTGACGGCTGCGTTTCAGTGTAGCACTTAATGGTCTCTCCTTTGTTCGGATTCCTGTTGGCGGGTAAGTTCAGACTTAACGTTTAGCAACCGCTAGTGAGTGGGGAATAGGTGGCCAAAGAATTGCATTTTTGTCTGGAGTACATATCTGGGAACCATATGTAAATGCGTGTTGATTTTCTCTATTTGAGTTTGCGGGTCACAGAAACCCAGGTGGGCCTGCGTCCGGTACTGTCCCTTTGGCTTCCAGAAAGCCATTGGCCGGCCTGGTCCTGCTACCCAGTTGGAGGGATTCCGGGACACACGGACTCTCAAAGTTCAAGGGCCGAGCCGCCTGGCCTGGACAGCCTGCGAAACGGAACTCTAGTTTAGCCTTTTCGATGTTTTCTGCTTTAGTCATAACTCTGGCTTTACATTGGGCATCAGAGTAAGTTAATTTGTTGTTAATGAAGATTTTAAAATTTGCTTTATTTTTAAGTCGCTGCATTTTAGAAGGTGGACCTTCCAAAGTTAGCAGTGAAAATATTTGCCATTTCACTAAGAGCTGTGAATTTGGCAACCGTGTGGTTGCCTCCTATCCAAAGCTGCTTGTGCTGCGTATTTTTGCCAAAAGGCACTTAGGCTGCCTAGTTCCTGTAAGGCTTTCGGAGTTCAAAGAAGAAATATTTCTTGCCTTCAGATATTTCGGTTTATAGGAAGGGGAACTTTGTGTTTTTCATTTTTGTCAATGCCCGTCCCCCTCCTTATCATTACATAGATGTCTCTGTAGGAAAGGAAATAGTTGTGTGTTGGGGTTTTTTTCTTATTATTTTTAAGAACAATTACATTCACGATCATTGTAAAAGAACAACAATTTTTTAAAAAACCCTACCAGACATTACAGAAGGAAAAGGGGAAAAATTGCCCTAGGAGCCTGCCCACCCCAAGGGGTGGGGGTGATGTTAACATTTTTCTAATAGACTTCCACAGTTTTTCTGTGTACACACACACAGACTTTTTTTTAAATGGAAATAAGGTCATGCTTCTCATATGATGCGTGTCTTTTCCTGTTTTTGCATTAGTGCAAGAGAAAAGTTACTACTTGAGGTGATGAACACACAGTACAGTGTACAGATGATGTGTTGTGGAATTGTACACCTGTATAATTTTGTTAACCAGTGTCACCCCAATCAATTCAATAAAAAGGAAAAAAAAATAAAACCACTTTTGATTTAAAATAAACAAAAAGCTATTGTACAGTAATAGTATAATTGCTTCAAGGTCCAAGAGTTATATGCCTAATTATTAAGAATAACCTTTACTAAAACATAACTTTGACTGACACACCTTCTGAAGGCTGTGAATAAAATTTGATCAAAAACAAAAATCAATTGAGAATCTACTACATAGCAGGTGCTGCTTCAGGTAGATGTTTGGTATATATGTGAACAGGCAAAACAGACCAAAAACGAAACAAACTTTAAAAATCCTTGTTCTTGTGGAACTAACATACAGTTGGGTCAAGAGAGACAATAAACAACAAACTTAACAGTTAAATTATATAAGAAGGTAAGTGCTGTGGAAGGAAAATCAAATAGAGGAAGAGGGTTTGGGAGTGCCAATGACTGTGGTGTGGGTCAAAATATTAAATAATGGAATCAGAGTAGTCCTCATTGAAAAGATGAGATTTGAGCCAAAAACTGAAGGAAGTAGGGGAATTAACCATGTGAATATCAGAAGCAGGAACAGCCAGTACAAGGGAGCATGCCTAGCTGGCAAGTACCAGAACTAGCAAGGGGACCAGTATGTTTAGCAATTGAGCAAGAGAATAATTAATTGGCCATGAAGTAGGAAAAAATGGTAGGTAAGGACTGGGTATCACTCTGACTGAAATGGACAAGCATTGGAGGTTTTTCAGTTTTTAATACATAAACTTAATTTTAGAATAGTTTCAGATTTAAGAAACTTGTGAAGATAGCACAGAGATCCTGTATGCTCCACACCCAGTGTCCCCTTTTATTAACAACTTACATTAATATAATTGATGAACCAATATTGATTGATACATTATTAACAAAAGTTCATGCTTTGTTCAGATTTTCGTAGTTTTTACCTGATGTCCTTTTACTGTTGTAGAATCCCATCCAAGATACTACATTACTACATTTAGTCATCATGTCTCCTTAGACTCCTGACTATGACAACTTTTCAGACTTTTCTGTTTATCATGACCTTGACAATTTTGAGGCAGTCAGGTATTTTGTACAATGTCCCTCAATTGAAGTTTGATGTTTGTCTTTAAGAGTGGTGTTACGGGGTTTTGGGAAGAAGACCACAGAGATGAACGAGGTGCCATTCTCGTTCTGTCATATCAAGGGTACAGGCTAGTAACTTGATCTTTATCATAGTTGATGTTAATCTGTATCTCCTGCGTGGTGTAGTGTTTGTCAGGTTTCTCTAGGGTGGCGTTATTTTCTCCCCTTGCTAAATTATCCTCTGGGAGCAGGTCATTGAGCACAGCCCACAATTCAGGGGTGAGTGGTTTTGCTCGACCTCTTTGAGGAGAGAATGTCTACGTAAACTATTTGGAATTCTTCTGTAAGGGAGAATTGTTTCTTCTCACTAATTTCATTTATTCGCTTAATTATAGCAGTATGTACTCACGGTTATTTTATGATTTGGATTATGGGCCAATACTTCGTTATTTGATTACTCTTGATGTTATTCCAGCTTTAGCCACTGGTAGCTCTTTCAGTCCGTTCCTATGCCCCTTTGACATCCCCTTATCATTTTTACTTTTTGAGTGTATTTTCTAGAAATACAAAGTGTTCCAAAGTCACCTTTACATATCCCCTGCTGCAGCCCTTTACTCAGCTATTTCCCCAGGGAACCTGGTTCATTTTATTTCAGAATCCTATTAGAAACTTAACATGTAGTCACTGGGTGTGGTCATTTTTACTGGTATGACATTCCTGTTAGATCCTCTGAGGTAACAGAGCTAGCCTGTGTTGGATCCATGTCGATAATTGTGTCTATATCCATTAGTCTCTGTCCTGACCTGAAGCTGAGTTCTAGCTCTAATCCCATGTCACTGGACTACAGGGCTCATTCTAGCCTTCCCTTCTTATGTGTAACCTCCGACAATTACAAATCTGGTTCTTTGGAAGGGTTTGAGGTGAGGAGTTGACATGGTATGATTTATGGTTTGAGATGATTGCTCCTTTGGAGAAAAGACCTTAGGGAAGTCGAATGGAAGCAGGAAGGCCAACTAGGAGGCTTTTGTTGAATTCTAAGTGGTAAGAGAAAGATTTAACGAAGTGCAAAGCTAAATTAATTGGGTTAGTACTGTATATAATGTTTAACTTGGGAGGCAGAAATATGGTAGAGAAGATAATTTTGCATGACGTATTTGATTGGAAGGCCAAAGAACTAAGCATCTCTTATAAGGAAGCCTCAGTACAAAAATATAAACAACCAGCCAAGCAAACAGTGGGTAATTTGAACTAGAAACTGATACACTGTATTATAATGTTTGAGGTCCAAAGTCATGCACCTTACCTTTCTTCTTTCAGACTATGTCAGTATAGTGAGTTATAATTGTTGTGTGTCTAAATAAACATGGCTTTTTTAAGTCATAGAAGCAATGTGTGTTTGTTAAGAATAGTTAAAAAAAATACAAATAAGCCAAAAAAAAAAAAAGAGAGAGAGCGCTCTGCTTTACTTTTTTATGGAAAGGTGTTGTGATTTAGTGAAAATGCACTGGACTAGGTATTAATGGAATTGAGTTCCAGATTGTATATTCCCTGGATAGTTGGGTGCCCTTGCGTGACTGACTGAACTTTCTGGGATTCATCTTCCTACTACATAAGGTCAGTTTTAATGATAGGAGTAAGGATTTCTTCAGTCCCTTCAGCTCTTTAATTTTTTGTGATTCTATAACAAAGCATTCTTTATCTTCCCTCATTGTTGAAGAAGATTTTTTTAAATGATAGTAACCTTCATTGCTCCCATTTTTGTTTAATCAGCAGACACTCTAACTCATTTGGTGAAAATGGGATGTTGTTAATATGTACTTACTACCTGTGGTTTTCTCAACTCCAAATACAATGTTCACTATAACTTAATTCTCGGCCTTTATTAAAATAACTAAGATTTAACTGTTAAACTTCAATCACATTCACAATGAACTTGCTGAGTTTTTTCAACAGAGGGGGAGATCTGTTCATTTCCCAGACATATTTGACCCACGGACCTGTTTTCTACTTCTCACAGTCTCTACAGAGGACAGTCACCACACTCATGGCTGGGATTTTGCGCTCAATAGTTCAGAGGCCCCCAGGCAAACTACATGTAAGTGATTCTTTTCAAGTTATCTTTTTTCTATTTCTTTAAAATTTTCCTTTCCCTCTTCTAGTTAACATAGCATGTGAGCAAGTTAACTATTTTTATGTATTAATTTATTTTTAATGTTGAAGGTTAATTTCGTTTATTTATGGTTTATCTGCTGTTATCCCTAAACATTTGGAATCACTAAAGATCTTTTCCAGGGGAACAAGCTGCTAAAAAATGGCCAGCATTGATTCCCCTTGATCTGACTTAATCTTTTCAAAGTTTTAGAGATGCTTTTTCCCTTCAATCATGAAAAGAGTACATTTAATCTTAGAAAATTAGAAAAATAGGGAAAAGCAGAGAGAAGAAAAGCAATCTCCCAGAGACGATTAATGTTCGTACTGTCATGTCTTTCCTTCACTCCTTTTTTTAAGAAACTGGTGGTCCGCCTAACCTGTTCATGAGGGCGACAGTCTAGCTACAGCCCTTCTGCTATAGATAATAGTAATGTCAGGTGCCTTACATACATTACCTTAACCTCAGATTAATCCCATATGGTCAGTATTATTTCCTTTTTATGGCTGAGGAAACTGACCCTCTGAGAGGGTGTTCATTTCTCACAGCTGGTAGGAACAGGAGCCCATTGTTGGTGGCATGTAAAAATCTGTGTTTTTCCTTTGTCTTCCCCAACCCCCTCCTGCTTCTGCTCTTGTTGTTTATGCCATCTCTGCAGTATAAGTGTGGGACCCAGTCCCGCAAAGTCACCTGGTTCTTCACAAATTAAATAACGAATCGTTCCAGACATCTTTGCCTGTCAAGAAAAGGGGGTGGCAATTCCCTCTAGTGGGGAATGCCCCGAGCCCTTCTCTGAAATTGCTTTTATTGAGAATGATATGTGCAGGGGTATACATCATACATGCAAAGCTTATCAATCCACGTCAGAGAGCTATAGATAACAATAAGAGGAATACATAGATCAGCCTTGGGTTAGGGTCTGTTAGACATACTGACATCAGATGATCATTAAGGCAAGGTTCAGGAGCTCAGGAATCTTTTCTCCTGCTTTGAGACTAAATGCTTGGTTTTTCCTTATTAGGGCAGTGAGAAACAGAGCAAGTTTCAGTAAATACAATGCATTCTTTAGGCCAGATTTCCGAGGATACCCTTGGTGCCAGCATTGGGTCCTGTCTGCCACCCAGCATTTCTGGTTTTCCAGCCGAGACTTACAGGCCCTTTTTCAAGGCCTGGTTCTTGCAGGGCTACAATTCCCGATACCACACAAAGTCATCCCCAACATATAGGGAGGGCATGATGGGAATGATTATTGTATGTCCAAAGGGGAGTTTACTGATATGGAGGATTAGCAGTGACTCCTTTCTCTTTTGCAGACTGAGAGAAACAGGGCCGGAGGATTGTAGGAAGAGAACAAGAGATAGGGACTACGAATGATGGAATTGTTAGGACTAGAAAGAAGATTGGAAACTTGTTTTGACTTTTCTTTTACATTGTATTGTTGAAAATGAATTGTCTAGAGCAGGGGCTGGCAAACTATAGCCTGCAGGCCAAATTCAGCCCAACACCGTTTTTTTGTAAATAAAGTTTTATTGGAACACAGCCATGCCCATTTGTTTATTGTCTAGGCTATTTTTGCCCTACAGTGACAAAGTTGAAACTTGACAATGGAAAACATATTGCCCCAAACTAGAAATATATAGAAAAAAACTATCTGGTCCTGTACAGAAAAATATTTCCAATGCCTGGTGTAGAAGTTGATTTATGTGCTTTTGTTTCATATGTTAGCGGTAAGGTTCATATTAGGGGCTGAGATAAACGTTTAAAAATTACAGCTTAGGTAAAAACAGGCTTCTTTCACCTCAGAATTGGTGAGTATAGATTTCTGCACTAGGTAGAGTTCTAAAAAACTAATGTTTTATGTCATATTTTAGACTGTGACAAAAGGTATGGAGTCTCTCGTTTGTACAGATTGGATTCGTCATAAATTTACCAAGTCAAGAATTCCAGATAAAGTAAGAACAAGGGGTTTTTTTTTTAATGTTACTATTTTTTAAGCATGTTATTTTAAAAAGGTTCTTATTTTTGTAATATTGAAAATGTTTATATTAAGTCATTTGTGGATGTAGGTAGTATTGTAGAGTTTATAACGTAGAAGGATTTATGTAAATGATTATTAAAAATAAACATGTGCCATTTGCCTTCCCAGTAGTGGATTTTAATCATCTCAGAATCTGTTGATGTCTATGTGTGTTTTTTTTCCCCTTAGTATTTTGCATTTTCATATCACCATTGTCCAGAGAAAATAGTCTTCCTCCTGCTCCCAAGCTCTGTCTTTGTGGCTTTTCTATATTGACTATTGCCACTTTGGATCTTTGAGTTTTCTCTGCTAGGTTTAAGTGTACATATTATTTTTTCAGAGAACAGTTAAGAAGCCCCCCCGCATTGATTTTTGTTTTGCTTTGTTTTTTTTTTTTTTAAATAAATAGACATTATTTCCTAGAGCAGTTTTAAGTTTATAGAAAAACAGAACACAAAGTACAGAGAGTTCCCAAATAGTCCCTCACCCCACCTAGGTATATGACCTGACCAGGAATTGAACTCGCAACCTTTCAGTTATGGGATGGTGCACCAATCAATTGAGCCACAATGGCCAAAGCAAAACCTACATTTATAACCTGAGTTTTGTAGCTATGCAGTTTATTTTGTTTTATTGACTGATAATATGCCATTGTCTGGATGTACCACAGTTTGTTTATTCATTCACCTGCTGAAAGACATCTTGGTTGCTTCCAATTTTTGGTAGTAGTAAATAAAGCTGATTAACATAAGTTTTCAACTTATTTGAGGTAGATGAATGCAACTGCTGGAATGTATGGTTAAGGCTATTTTTAGTTTTGTAAAGCCTGAGTTTTATTGTTTTATTTTTCCCCCATTTTTTTCTGTATTGAGGTAAAATAAATATGACATAAAATTTAGTATCTTAACCAATTTTAAGTGGTATTGAATACATTCACATTGTTGTGCTATTATCACCACTATCTACCTCCAGACCTCCCCTTCTTGCAAAACTGAAACTGTGCCCATTAAAGAATAACTCCCAATTCCTGTCGCCCAGCCCCTGGCACCCACCATTCTCCACTGATGTTTTTAAGAGATAAAAATGATTATTTTGATACCTCTAATAAGGTTTATGTTCTTTTATCAAGCACATTTCAGGTCATGGTCTTTCTGCTGCTGTCCTTTCCACAACTATATTGTGTTATGCCTTTACATGTTTCTTAGTCTGTAAGCTTCTGGAAGAAAAGGATAAATACAAATGTTAGCATTTGTTCAAAATATGCAAGGCACTGATTTTGATCACCAGCTACAGTAAATGTGAAAACTTTTAAACTGCACAGAAATGGCTCCGAGATGTGTATCTCTAGCCCTTGCCTATCTTCCAAACTTATTCCTGTATCTTCAAATGGTTTCTAGACCTTGGTGCTTGGATAACTCAGAGGTATTTCAAGTTTAAATATGTCCAAAATTCAACTCACTGTCTTACTTTCCCTCCAGTCAATCAAACAAAAGGAGAGTGCTCATCTTGTATTAGTTATGTAAGTTAATGCTACCATCTTCCACCTGATTTCCCAGACTGGAGACATCTTGAGTCAATCTCAGCTCCTCCTTCTCCTTCACTCTCCATTTCAGTGCCCAAAGTCTCCAAATCAATCCCCTCCCTATTATAACTGCTGTAGTTCAGGCCCTTAAACCATGGCCATAGCGTTTCTTAACTGAATTTCCTTGTACCAGTCTCCCACCACCAGTTTATTTTATTCTCTTGTAAGAGTTTTCTTTCTGAATCTCTTTTGGAATTATGGTCATGTTGCTTCAAACCTTCAATAGTTTTGTATTCCTTTTGGAAATTTCTAAAGGCTCAGCATAGCTGAACATAGTTTAACTTCATCCTGTGCATTGCTTTTCATCTTTTTTTCCTACATCAGCCACATGGAACCACTTGGTTTTCCTAAATATTTCATACCTTTCACACTGTTTTTTTCTGTCTTCTCTCCTTTTCTTTGATGCAACTGCCCCATCTTTGGCCTGCCACTATTCTTTTCACCCTATGTCTCTTCAGAATCCCTAGAAAAATACAAACAAGCAAAAAAAAAAAACTAAAAAATACCTGTAATCCCACTCACCTGGAGACAGCTACTATAAACACCTTTCATATCCTTTTCTGGTGTATGATTTTAAATATATGAGTTTTTTAATACACAGGAGTGGGCAAAGTAGGTTTACAGTTGTGAGTGTATAAAACAGAGTTCATTGTATTATTATTTATTATTATTTTTAACCTACTTTTGACCACCCCGGTATAATCCTTCTGTAGCTGCTTTCTTCATTTAGTAGTATAATGTGAACCTCTCTGGGGATAAGTTTCTACAATATTGCTTTTAATGGCTAAATGATGTCCTTTTTATTAAAGTACCATCTTTTTTTGGTCCTTCTTTGGCCTGATGTCCCATTGGTGTCAAGACTCTTACGCACGCGCGCACACGCACAGGGTCTGGCACAAATAACGCCCCTTTTTTATTACAGTCATAAGCATGTAATTCTGTAGTATAACACTTTCACACTCAAGCACACTGTATGACATTTTAGTTGAAATGTTCAAATTAAAACTATGAATTATTACACTTATATTACCCTACCAACCATACTCAAGCAGGCCTTAAGCAAGCCTTACTTCTACTGGACCTTGTGTAGAACTCTTAGAATTAATAATTTTAGAATATATTCTATCATATATGGTACAGATAAAACAAATGCAAGACCCTGCTACACATAGTGGTATGGAAAGGTTTGGGTTTTTTGTTCTTGTGGGGTTTTTTGTGTTTGTTTGTTTTTCTCAATGATGTATTATGGCCATCCTAATGTTAGTACCTGCAAGATGGTGAACCTTACTTGTTTTAATGGCAGCATTGTATCCAGTAGGATACGTTATAATTTGTTCAGTTACATCATATTTTTTAGTTTTATTATTAGTTTTATTTAGAATTATGCATCATAATTTATTTAGTCTGTTGAGAAGCATGGATATCGCCTTCAAGTTTTTGATGTACTTAATGCAAGTTTTATATACTTATGGAAGTTTTCCTGTGGGATAGCTTCCTAGAACCTTCTGATTCTTAGAGAATCAGTTCAAATGTCTGCTCTGTAGTGCCGTTTCTGATCCCTCATAGGCATAGTCATTTGTCTCTACTCTCATAGTACTTTGTACATTTTTTAAATCATATTCATGTTTTATTATCATTTTAGACTTACATGTGTGTTTCTCCATTTGAACAGGGGCCCAGTGCCCAGTTCACATAGTGCTAATACCTTCTCCTAGCATCTGAGCTCTTTATTTTTTTAAATTTTTTTGTTTGTTTTTAAACCAAGCACTGGCCAGTCTTATGAAAGAAACATTTTGCATGATGTACTTTTTGGCAGTCTGCTCTGGCATTCTAATGATATCAGAATCACCTGGATCAGTGATAGACAGTGTACATACTCTGTAGTATTTTCCACACGCTGTGTCCAATTCAATATTATTGCCACTGTGGTGATGGACACCAGTCTTGGCCAACATGGCATAGTACTCTATCTCTGATTTCCTCAAGTCAGGACAGTTGTTTGCGAGGATGTCCAGTTTCGCTTTGACTGGTATGATTATCTTCAAAATCTCCTTGTACCTTAGCACATACTTTCTACTTTTCATAACAAGTTGGAGCCTAGAAATGATCTGCTCTAGTGACATTTTTGTCTTTTTGGAACCACCATCTCCCTGCCTGAGGTACGGGACGGCCCCAACCAAAAGCAGTGGACAGGATGGCCAGGGAGCAAGAAAGGAAAGAATTCCCACAGTGCCCAACCAAGTTCTTTAGTGTCATCTTGTTGCTCCTGCCTTGTCCTTCAGAAAAAAACAAAACAAAATCCTTTCCTGTGTGATATTTTTCTTAAGAGTATGAAATTCTTAGATTCCTTCTAAGTAATGAGATTAGTAGAAATGTTCAGTTTGAGGTTGAGGATTATGGAAAGATCAGGGATGAAATCATTATATAGATATTTAGGGTTTTTTTACAGGGAAAAAAGGAGGCACATATAAATTGTCTAAGTTGAAAATTTACCATTTATGATTCTTCCTTTTTAGGTATTTCAGCCTTCACCTGAAGATCATGAAAAATATGGTGGGGATCCACAGCACCCTCATAAACTGCATATTGTTACCAGAATAAAAAGTATAAAACGACGTCCATATTGGGAAAAAGATGTAATAAAGATGCTTGGATTAGAAAAAGTATGCAGTTATTTTAGTCATCTTTAGCTCTGTTTAAATTTCCTTTAAATTTGATACTTTTTTAAGTTTAAGGTATATATTTAATTTTTGTTGTTGTTTAAATGTATTATTTAGTGGAATGCACTTGAAAGTTTGATTTCACAGAATGAGCCTTCACCCTAACATTTTACTGAGAAGGGGACCATCTCTGTTTTTGAAATTGATCTCTAACATTGTCTCCCTTTGTTTGTAGGCTCATACTCCTCAAGTTCACAAGAACATCCCATCAGTGAATGCAAAACTAAAAGTGGTTAAACATTTGATAAGGTTCGTCGTTTGTTGCCTCAGAGGTTTTTAAAAAATTTTTTGCCTAGCATAATCCTAAAATAGTTTTCTTATGCCACAGAATCAAGCCCCTGAGGTTGCCACAAGGACTTCCAAAAGAGGAGGACATGGCTCACACCTGCCTCAAGAGCACTGGAGAGTTAGTATTGCGGTGGCATCTAAGCCCCATGGACCAGGAAGCAATTAAGTCCTAACGCCAGAGCTGTTTGAGATTAAAAAGTGCAAATCAGTTTGTTTAAAGATGGTGAGAAAGTGTTCTCAGTAAAATATATTTTAAATGCTAGTCATTTTTACTAAGTATGGTGTGATTCTTTCTTACTATAGGCTTGCAGGTTTTAGTGCTGTTATTTGGTTTAGTTCTCTCCCCTTTGTCCCTGATAGTTTCACTACAACATGGGTGAGAATGGCATTGTTTGAACATCTAGGTTCATATGTCACCTTAGCAGTCACCATTAACTTGAAAAAAAAATGTCTCGTTTAACTGAATTCAGCAAATCCTATGAGGGACCCTTTGAGTGAGCGTTTTGTTAGGTATTAGAGAAATCCAGAGCTGTCCTTTAGGAGCTTGCAGACTGTTCTGCCAGAGAACAGAGTTTCAGCCCAAGTCAGTAAACCTTGGATGCAGCTAGATCAGACAAAAACAGTATCTATTTTCTAATTATTAATCTATTTGGCCTAAAGTTTACTGATGTTCTTTGAATTCCTAAGAAACCTCTGCCAACAGCTGAGGTTGCTTTTTAAAAGAAGAAAAAGAAGGGAGAAATTTTTTAGATGGCATTATTTCATTTCCTTTTTTTTCTAATTTAGATGCTTGAAGGGGCAGGGAGAAATAAAAATCTCAGGAGAGATACAATGCCAGGGTAGGTTGATGATGGTAAAGAATCCGAATTCTAGTTACCATTTGTTTTCCTTTCTTTCTTGTAAAATTTGGCTCAAGCAACAATAATGTTGGCATATTCATTGTTTGTGATCCCAGTAGCCATCCCATCACATTTCTTTAGGGTTTTGGGCATCAAGCAGAAGTACTACCTGAAATAAAACCAGAACAGATATTCTTTTTTTTTTTTTCTTTATCCTTACCAAAGGATATGTTTATTGATTTGAGAGAGAGAGGAAGGGGGGAGGGGAGTATCAACTGGTTGCCTCCTAAATGCACCCCAACTGGGGCTCAAACCCACAACTGTTTGGTGTATGAGACAATGGTCCAACCAACCAAGCAATCTGTCCAGGGCCAGAACAGGTATTCTTAACTAATAAAGACAGTTACAGTTTTAATTCAGTAATTATTGAATATCCAGCACATGTAAGACCTGGAGGGGACACTAACTACAAAGAGCTCATTCTAACTGAAGAGAGACCTGTGTGCCAAATAAAAGGTACCATTGTTGCACTTGGTTGGGACAATTATGTACATAAAAGCTGACCCCTGCTAATATATTGCTATTCCTTTTACTGTGGAAATATTAATGTTTAAAACTGGGAAAAAGAACATAGATTACCCAAAGATTGTAATAAAGTTTGGGAAAGTATTTTTAACCTCAGCAGTTCCATAACTAGACAAAAAGATCTAAATATTAAGTTGAATATTTAGAAATAGTCTAGATTTGAAGAAAAGTCTATAGGGAAGATATGGGCATAGGCTAGTGCATTGGTTTTCTACTGCTATGTAACAAATTACTATAAATTTAGCTGCTTAAAACAATGCATGCTTATTATCTGACCATTTCTGTGGGTCTGAAGTCTGGGCTTATCTGGGCAGTCTACCCAGGGTCTCACAAGGCTGCAGAAAATGTGTTAGCCTAAGCTGGGTTCTTGTCAGAGCCTTGACTAGGAAAGGGTCTGCTTCCCAGGCTTCCCAGGTTGGCAGAATTCATTTCCTAGTGGCTATAGAGATTCATGCCAAGCTGCTTTGTCAAAACCAGCATTGGGAGACTTAGCAAGATGTGTCTCCCAAAGCTACTCTTAGGTGATCATGTAAATGCAGTCATGTACATTCCATTACCATTGTTTCATTCCTTTGGTTAGAATCAAGTCTTAGGGTCTCCCCTTACTCAAGAAAAAGGGGAATTACCCAAAGGTGTGACTACTGGAGACAGAGATCATGAGGGCTTCCTTAAAGTCTGTCTATACGTCATCAAGCTGGACCCTGGGGATCCCCCAGATTGTCATTTCAAAACTTTTTAAGAACTTCTCCCTTAGTCTTTTCTCGTTTTAGGAGGTTTTCTCTAGCCTGTTATTGGTGACCATTGGCCTTTGGTCAAGATCAGAGAGATGAAGTTACCCAAGCACACTCTTTAAGGACCAATCCAGTTCTCATAAAGTCTCAATCTGAAATTGCACCTTTTCCAGGCCAAACACCTGTTTCCTTCCTCTATTCTTATTACAATACTAACTAGTATAGTTATTCAAACTGGCATAATTTCACCAAGGACAATTTGGCCACTTTAGGGAGCTTTAAACATGAACAGGATTGTGTATGTGAGAGGTCCCTTAAAACCAAAAGTGAAGAAGCCCCCATGGGGAGATTATTTTATTTTTCTAAAAAAATTAAATCATTTTGTTGAATATAGGTGGTATCTTTTCCTTCCCATACTTTGAGGAGTAGAAAGTACTGGGTGTTTGATCACACAGCTTGATAAGATTTTCAAGGGTCCAAGTTACTGTCTAGATCATCTGTAACTCATGTGTGTGTGTGTGTGTGTGTGTGTGTGTATCAGATATATATACATATATATCCAAATCTGTTTTCTTTTTAAAAATATTTTATTGATTATACTATTACAGTTTCCCAGTTTCCCCCTTTGCCTCCTTACACTCGCCACCCCCTACTCCCTCAGGCAACCCCCCACACCTGTGTTCATGTCCATAGGTCACGCATAGTTCTTTGGCTACTCCATTTCCTATACTATACTTTACATCACCATGGCTATTCTGTAACTACCTATTTGTACTACTTTAAAAAGACTTTATTTCGTATGTGAGGGTGATCTGGCTGTGACACCTGTCATCCCATTGATCGCCAGGGTTGATTCGGCTGATCTGGCTGGCTAGGCGGGTGTCCCCTTCTTCCCTCACCGACCCATATGCGTCCCTCCCGAAGCAGCGTGCTGTGCTTGGTAGAAGAGGACGACCTTCCCAACTAGAGGAGAGGACCTGTCTTTGGCCAACGGTATACGAGTAGCTACTCTCCCCTGCTAGAACTTCCAAACAAGCTGCTCTCAAGATTTTATTTATTTATTTTTAGGCAGAGGGGAAGACAGGGAGAGAAACATCAATGTGTGACTGCCTCTTGCACACCCCTAACCAGGGACCTGGCCCACAACGGAGGCATGTGCCCTGACTGCGAATTGAACCGGTGACCCTTTGGTTCACAGGCCAGTGCTCAGTGCACTGAGCCACACCAGCCAGGGCCCTATTTGTACTTTTTAATCCCCTCACCTCCTGACTCATTCCCTCACTCCACCCTCCCATCTGGCAACCATCAAAATGCTTTCAGCATCCATGATTCTGTCCTTGTTTGCTTTGTTTTTAGATTCAGTTGTTGATAGATATGTATTTATTGCCATTTTATTCACAGTTTTGATATTCTTTTCGTAAGTCAGTCCCTTTAACATTTCGTATAATAATGGTTTAGTGATAATAATCCTTTGGTTTTTTTCTTGTCTGGGAAGCTCTTTGTCATCCCTTCAATTCTAAATCATACCTTCACTGGGTAGAGCAATCTTGGCTATAGGTCATTGATTTTTGCGACTTTCAATGTTTCTTGCCAGTCCCTTTTGGCCTGCAATTTCTTTTGATCAATCAGCTGACAGTCTTATGGATACTCCTTTGTAGGTAACTAACTGCTTTTTTCTCAATACTTTTAAGATTCTCTCTTTATCTTTAATCTTTGGCATTTTAATTATAATGTGTCTTGGAGTGGGCCTCTTTGCATTCATCTTGTTTGGGACCTTCTGTGCTTCCTGGACTTGCATGTGTATTTCCTTCACCAAATTAGGGAGGTTTTGTTTCATTATTTTTTCAAATAGATTTCCTATTTCTTGCTTTTTCTCTTCTTCTAGCACCCTTATGATGTGAAAGTTGGAACACTTGAAGTTGTCCTAGAGGTTGCATACACTCTTCTCAGTTTTTGTTTATTCCTTTTTCTTGTTCTGATTTTTTTTTGCTTCCTTATGTTCCAAATAATTGATTTGATT